AATGGAAAGGAGGACTATCAGCAAAGCAAAGCAAAATGACAGGCAGTAAAAAATATTAAAGACTGGGGCAAATTATTTCTCCAAGTAACAAATTCATGGCAATGCTCTAAGACAGAATATTTATGATCATAATCATGTGATGGGAAATAATTAACAACAGAGTCAGCATTCTGTGCATTTTCACTATTCTCAGGAAGAGCTAGATGAATACTTTTTTTCACCCTTACCATGGTCTATGCCTCAGTGTGTGTATATACATATATTTTTAATTTTTGTTTATTTTTTTATGTGGTGCTGAGGATTGAATCCAGTGCCTCACTCATGTGAGGTAAGCACTCAGCCACTGAGCTACAACCCCAGGCCAGATGCCTCAGTTTATATTTTGCAAAATTTTAAAGATGAAAAAGCTACAAACTTGGGCTGGGAATGTGGCTCAAGCGGTAGCGCGCTCGCCTGGCATGAGTGCGGCCTGGGTTCGATCCTCAGCACCACATACAAACAAAGATGTTGGGTCTGCCGAAAACTAAAAAATAAATATTAAAAATTCTCTCTCTTTCTCTCTCTCTCTCTTTGAAAAAAAACAATAGATTAAGGATAACTTTAAAAAAAAGCTACAAACTTTTCTGATATTTTAAAATTATATCTACAAATGCTGGGATTACAGGGTATGTATGCGTGTAAAGGTATGTATACCTATAATCCCAGTGATTTAGAAGGCTGAGACAGGAGGATTGCAATTGAAGGCCAACCTGGAAAAGTTAGCAAAACTGTCTCAAAATAAAAATAAAAGGGGCTAAGGATATAGCTCAGTGGTAAAGCACACTGGGTTCAATCCCATGTTTTTAAAAAAAATACAAGTATGTATATATTTTTATAAGTAAAACATAAACTGAAATTATTTTAATTTTTAAACATTTAATTTTGCAACATTTAGATTCATTAAGAAAGTTATTTCCATTAATTATGCCAAGATTACTTGAGACCATAATATTAGTATTCCCACTGTGAATTTATTTAAGTTTAGATTAATTTAACAGTTACATATTATTGGTCTCCCTGTAAATAATGCACTTAAAAAGAGTTCTTAAACACAATTTTCAGTATGCCCTTACTAGTTGCCTAATGCCTTCTTTTCTGCTGTTACTAAAACTATACTATTAAAAATACAACATTTACTAGTGTAGAACAAAACATTCCCTAAACTGTACCTAGGACATGAGGCCTTGGAATTTCACTTTCCTCCTTCTCAGATGTTGCCATATGCTTTTTTTAAAAAAAATATTTATTTTTTAGTTGTAGTTGGACACATTACCTTTATTTCATTTATTTATAGGTGGTGCTGTGGATCTAACCCAGAGCCTCACATTGCTCTACCACTGAGCCACAACCCCAACCCTTGCATATGCTTTTGATTTCATAAACTGTACAATTATAAATAATCATTTCATAAATCATGAAGTAGTTATTAATTTATCTACATATAATAACTCTCAAGTGGTCTTCTTACTCTATTTTTTTGTGGGGGCAGTGCTGGGGTTTGAACTCCGGGCCTTGAACTTTCTAAGGAAGTTCTACCACTGAGCTACGCCTTCAGCCACATCAGGTTTTTAAAAAACATTCTGAAGCAACAGAAAAATAAAATTTGCCAAGATACACACACACACACACACACACACACACACACACACACACACACACACACACATTTGTTCTTGGTCAAAGAAAAAAAAATCTGAAAACATGCAATTTTTCAGTTTAATGAGAATTCCCTCCCGTCCTAGTCAGTTCTGTCATTTTAGCTCCAGACACAAGGTGTTCATTTTGGTCAATTAATCATCCTTCAGTTAGTCTCAAAATATGAGAAAGATTAATTCTAATAATAGGATACTGATTCTTTTAGTGATTTCTAATTTTTTTTCTTTAAAAAAAAATCAAGCAGTCATCTGATAGTTCTTAAAAAAAATTATGAGATCACCATGTGAATTTGGCATTATTTCTTAAAAGGAGTACAAGAAACAGAGTGACACTGATATAATATTCCCTGGTAAAGCAAGTTAATATTGCCATTGGCTATTGAACTCTGAATACAGTGCCTTTTATATGAAAAAACACTTAGTTTATAGACCAATGGTACATTTTACCAAAAAAGTAAAAATGCTTTTGTTTTTAACAGAGGCAGGTTTTCAAACTGTTTTATGAAAAAGTAGGAGAACCCCTACTGTCTGAGAAAGCTTACTAAATCTCAAAGTCTATCTCTTCTGAACTACACTATTAAGTAAAAAATTTGGGTGTCAACACAAAGTGTTCAGGACTGGGAGTCATGGAAGAGGCATCTTAAACAGACAAGTTTCTGGTTTTCTAGAGCTAAGAAGGATATACAAGTTAGCTTGATTAGGAAGTATATTATTAAGATGTAGAATTATTCTGAGGATCTTTTGGACTGTGATCAGGATCTTAGAGATGAGACACACTGAAAGGAAGGTATATTAGTGACTAAGGATAAACAAGGCTAATGATTTAAGGATTAAGAGTCTAGGGTGAGTTTAAGAACACCGGATCTGGCATTTTGCTATATTTCAAAGCAGAGCTCTACATCTAAACTTGTCAATTTTTGAAGAGGAATTTGGCTCTCTTCAGGTCTACGGCACAGTGTTTAAGTTCTGCCCAGTTTGGTAGTATATGCTTCCATCAGGTAGATTGCTGAAACTCAAAAACTCATTCCTGTGGTTCTAGACCACTCTTTCCTGACAGAGATTTCCAAGAATGGAAATCTCTTTTTTGGTAGTAATTATCCATAAGATCCTTTCCAGAGGGCTAGGGTTGTGGCTCAGTGGTAGAGTGCTTACCTAGCATGTGTGAGGCCCTGGGTTCGATCCTCAGCACCACATAAAGATAAACAAATATTTGTCCATCTACAACTAAAAAACATTTAAAAAAATCCTTTACAGAGACTTTCACTATACCCATTAATAAATCTGGTCCTTATATAAAGGCTATATGACATAGATGTCATCCATATTCTTCATCTCTATTATTTTCCCCCTTTCAATTTTTTATTTTCCATAATTATTCTCTATTTTCTTTAATCCTTCAAGATCTTTTCCTTGGTAACTGCAGGTTATGAATAGAGAACATACTAGGAATCTGTCTTGAGTCAGCCTGGAATAAATGCAGCTTTCATATCTCTTATTTTCTTATCTTCTTGTCCTGAAATTCTATTTTTTTCTGACATCTCTCCCTGTTTCTACCTCCATTCTTCTTCCTACCCAGAGGCCACCTGAAACATGCAGAATAATAAAAGGTGATTAACCAATATTTGTTCCCATAAAATTGTTCTCCTATGTAAGCATGGTGGGGCATTTCTGTAATCTCAGCTGAAGCTGAGGCAGGAGAATCACAAGTTCAAGGTCAGCCTCAGCAATTTAATAAGACCCCTTTCCAAAATAAAAAAAATATATATAAAGGGCTGGGGAATGTGGCTCAGTGAAGAGTACGCTGAATTCATTCCTTAGTACTGGAAGATAAAAAAAGCTATAAACAATAATGTAGGTATGTCTGTATAAAAGAAAATACTAACAGTAGTCTTTTTAAAAAAATATTTTTAGCTGTAGATGGACATGATATTTTAATTTTATTCATCCATTTATGTGGTGCTGAGAATCAAACCTACACATGCTAGGCAAGTACTCTACCAATGAGCCACAACCCTAACCCCACCTTTTCTATGACAAATACATACAGGCCTTTGCCTATCTTTATGACTTTATGACTTATTACACTTAAAGACCCTGCATTGGTTTCCAACCCTTTTTGGTCACAAATACCTGAAGGACACGATATTCCCATCTCTAGCTGTATTGTGAAGGTTAATTTTATGTATCAACTTTGCTGGCTTATGGTGCCCAGATATTTAGTCAAATATTATTCTGGATGTTCCTGTTTAGGTGTTTATTCTTTTTTGGGGGGTGGTAGGAGAGGTACTGGGGATTGAACTCAGGGGTACTTGACCACTGAGCCACATCCCCAGCCCTATTTTTTTTTGTATTTTATTTAGAGACAGGATCTTGCTGAGTTGCTTAGTGCCTCTTTTTTGCTGAGGCTGGCTTTGAACTCTCGATCCTCCTGCCTCAGCCTCTTCAGCCTCTGGGATTACAGGTATGCACCACTGCGCCTGGCAAGTTGTTTATTATTGAGATTAATATTTATCAAGAGTGGACTTTGAATATAGCAAACTACCCTTGATATGTTGATGGGCCTCATTTGATCAACTGATGGTCTTAACAAAGACTGACCTCTTCCAAGTAAGAAGGAATTCTCTCAGCAGACTGCCTTTGGACACAAACCTCTCTCTCTCTAAAGAAAGAACAGAGGGGAAGAGTGAGGAGTGATAAGCTAGAAACAGTGGTGCCAGCAACTTAATGAGACTATCTTAAAGAAAGAAAAAGAAAAGTTGGGGATGTAGTTCAGTGGTAGATTGCCCCTGGTTTCAATCCTGAGTACTGGGGGGGGGGAGTAAAAAAGGTAAAAGAAAAAGGCTACACTCAAGTCTTCATTGAGGATAGATAAGATTGGACACTGTAATGGGAAGGAATTGAGCTAGAAAAATTTCCTGAAAGTACCACTAGTGAAGGATGCTAAGGAATTACATCTTTTAAAAAGGTCTTTGAACATATGGCATGAATAATTAACAACATTTGCATTCTGTAATACACTAGTGAATTTACCATAAAAATTTATCTCAGTACACTTTTAGATTGCTGATATTATAGAACTAGGGAGGGTTACTGTGCAAAATCTCATTTATAAGTCATTAAGAAAAAAACTTATTGGCAAAGTTGATAAAAAAAATCAAGGGTCTAAACCACGATTTTTAAATCTATGGTATCATAACTTTAAAAGTAATGAAGGATGCACCTCTAAAAACAAGATTTTCTCCATATCTACCTATAAAAAGAAAAATCCAATGCCATCAGATGATGACTTCAAAATTCTGGGCTTACCTTTTTTTTCTCCAGTGTAGGGCACATAGTCTTCCCTGTCCTTTTGCTCCAATGCTTCCTTCTCCAGATATGAAAGGAGGTGTTCTCTATCAAAAGGTCCTGTGGCAGACTTTGACGTCTGATTTTTTTGCCGGAACCCTGCAGGCAGAAGGGCATTCTGCCAAAGAGAATATATTGGCCATTATTACTACCACGAATGCCAATATTAAATGTTTCTATATATTTCCCATATAAAAAAGAATTACAGACTAGAATGTGATGTAGGTGTTAAACTTCACTGCTAGATTTCAAGGCAGTAATATAAAAATGATCCAAATGAAGAACTTGTTTTTTTGAAAATAGACAATTCATTTACATTACTGTTAAAATGGGTACCTACATATTTTCTTCAGAAAGTATTCTAATAGCAGGAAACATCCTTTAGTTTTTAAGTGTCCAGGGATTGTAATAAAAAATAATTTTCTTAATACTTAAAAACTGCTAGGCAGGGGCTGGGCTTGTGGCTCAGTGGTAGAGTGCTCGCCTATCACATGCAAGGCCCTGGGTTCAATCCTCAGCACTACATAAAAATAAGTAAATAAATGTATTTAATAAAAACCAAAAAAAAAATTTTGCTAGGCAATTATGTACCTAAGACTAATTCTATCACAAAAGAATTTTAAATGACTATACATGATATTCCCTCCTAAAGACTTCCATTTAATCACACATACTTTTTCATGATATACATACATATATACACAAACACACACACATATACACCTATATATGAATATAGGCTATCAGGAGATTAATATTCACTTGTTTTACATAGACATAATAGGAATGCTTCCACACTATCCACTATGTGTTTGTATAGTGCATACATGAGCACTATGATGGACTTATATTGATTACTGTCACTGCTGCTCAAGGCCCAAGGCATTCTTTTTTTTTTTTTATTGGTTGTTCACAACATTACAAAGCTATTGACATATCATATTTCATACATTAGATTGAAGTGGGTTATGAACTCCCAATTTTACCCCAAATGCAGATTGCAGAATCATGTTGGTTACACATCCACAATTTTACATAATAAGGCCCAAGGCATTCTTAAGATAAAACCAGAATTCAGCTTCCTTGGATTTTCATGTGGACATATAGTCTTTTTGAGTGCATGGACTGAGAGTGGGGATTAGGGGAAGAAGGATGATGGATTCAACTTAAGTTGTCTAAGGCAGTCCCTACTCTATAAATTTTCATGAAGCCACGAATAACATAGGGTGACAAGATAACGAGAGCATCATCTTTTTGTTTATCAAAATCCAGAGATGAGAATGCCTTAAATCCTATTTCTGGTATTCTTTTCCTCGACAAATGAAAGTCAGAGAAGTCACACCTCTTTTGTAACACCTCCCAATATTGGCAATGATGCTGAATCTCATAGTGCTATAAGTCAACTTTTCATTATAAAACTTGCTCTTTACAGCTGTGCATAGTGGTGCAGGCCTGCATTCCCAGAGAACTGGAAGGCTGAGGCAGAAGGATCCCAGGTTCAAGGCTGGTCTCAGCAACTTAGTGAGATCTTGTCTCAAAATTAAAAAAATAAAAGACCTGGGTGTGGGGAGCCACATTGAGTTACCATGCCTTCTAGTCCTGATGCACCGTGGGGATGTGAAAGATCACTGTAGTTCTGGTGCAGTCGTGCCATGATTCGTGACTCAGTCCCTACCCCTCTTCCCGCTCGGACAGCAAGGCCAGGATTCTGAGTAGGCATACCCCTGGGGTTGAGCGTCACTCATCTCTTCTTTTGTAATCCTACCCCATTTGCCCTGTTTGGGATAGACTGTTCCGTGAAACCGCCCTTTGTGTGTCCCCCTTCTCTTGTTCTTGTTGGGTGTGGCCTTCCTAGATGTCAGTCAATCTGCTGATAGCAGACATCATGAAGCTAGACTCAACCCCCACCCCCAACCTGACCCCTTGCCTCATCTGAATGGCTTCTCCCCAATAAAAAGGTTCAGCACGATCTCTCTCTCTTTCCACGGACCCCTAAGGTCAGAGGAGCTGTCACAGGACCCAGAGAAAAAGGTATCTCTGTCTCTTGTGTGATTATTTCATGCAGCCCAGTTCACCTGGAGTGACCTTGAGTATTTTAGTCATGAAACTTGAACTGTAGCTCAGTGATAAAGTGCCTATAGGTTCAATCCCTATTACCAAAAAAGTAAAAAAAAAAAAAAACCATAATAATTAATGATAGTAGAAAATGCTTACAACTCTGCATTTATACCTAATTACACTTCAACTCTGGCCATTTGCTGGGATCAATAATAATTTTCATAAAATTCAATTTGGTGTTCCCCTTAATGTAATGGTTCTTATTACATAGAAGGCTGACCTATAAAGATAAATCACAGGCGCGCACCAAGCCAGATGGGAGGAGGAAGCCCAGCCCCACCCCATGTGCTAGTCCGGAGGAAGCCCATCAACCCTTAAAACCCATCAAAGGGGGTGTGGCTACCAGCACGGTTCTGCGGGTGATCCAGGTACCCAGTTTCCAACTCCCCTACCCTTAGCTGCGGTAACTCAAAATATTTCCCAAAGCTTTGGGGGTTGTAGCTATCAACGCAAAACAACAACTGTACAGGCACCTGGTTTCTACCTCAGAGACTAGAGTAGGGAAGATACAGGTGGAAGCTCATTTCCTTTCACACTGGCTATACCCACCACCCTGAATACAGAGGCTCAAGCTAGGAATAGACAATGCCACCTACTGGAAGCAAGGAAAACAGCGTTCTGAGAGACTTTTTTTTTTCTCTTTCTTTCTCTCTTCTCTCTCTTCCACAACTTCAACATATGTAAAACCCCTGTGCATGAACAACCGAATTACCAAAGTAATATAATATAGAGGAATTGCATATACCCCACCTTCCCCCCATTTTTTTCTTTATTTCTATCTTACTTTCCTTTTCCTTCTCTTATTTCTCTTTTCTTCCTTGTTATTTTTTTTCTTTTTTTAATTCGTATTCTCTCTATCCCACTTTCAATCTCCTAAGTTTTGCTATCTATACATAGGGTAACTATCTAAATACAGATAGGAGGTTGAGTCGATACATTCTTCCATAAATTACCAGTCTATTGGTTAGAGTTCTCCAAAGGTGCTAAGTGAGTTTAACCTCATACCCTCACTCCTTTCCCTCTAAGTATAACATCCTTCGTCTGAAATTAAGTTTTCTATATGCCACCAGATATGGTATGCCTTTTATGAAACTAATGATATATTCTTAAGTAGTAATTAAAACCAATATCTATAGACTTAGAATCTAACTATAAATGTATTAATAATAAAAACTTGTGCTTAGATAATGTACTATTGATATTGGGAACTGTTAACATTGTCTTTCTCCGCAAAAGAGGGATTTTGGAGCTATACAAGAACAATACAAATATATAAGGGGAAAAA